ACAAGAGTAAAACAATAACAAAGCTAAAGAGAAATCGGGGCAAATTGCTCCCACTAAATCTCTTATCAATGAGATATTTCTTGACGACAACATTTTTATCAAATACCGAAATGCACATTTTGTGTGTTGAGGGCCACTTAATATTTCAAGAAATGAAATTCGCCACCAATGATTTTCATTGTGAATGCGCGTATTTGAGAAAGGAAAATGTAAAGATTCGATACAGTTGATGCCTTGGTTTTTCCTAAGTAGTTATTTGTTAATTATTTTCATATCTCCTGCGCCGAAATGGTAAAATGTTTATTGGATACCAGTCTGATCTCGACTACACTGAAATATGCATCAGTGAAAATGAAGGAAAAGCGAAAAAGTACATGTACACATTTTTAATAAAATAAAAGAAGGAGATTTTAAAAACAAAAAAGGGGATAAGAATCTTAGCAAATATTGCTAATAAAGTATATACATCGCAATCCATAAAAAAGTCTGAGCTAAGCTTAAGACCGGTAGGACAGGGGGACTTACATGTCTGTTTCAACAAAGCCGGGTGGCAAAGACAACGCGGCGTTAAAGCGACATGTACGGACCTACACGTACATATCAAACACTGCTTATTCAACTTTCGACTGGCCACTTAAAGGCGTCGGCCGGCAAGTTGATTTTTTGCAGCCCTGTCCAAATAAGACACAGGCAAAATTATGGACAGCTAAATGGCCGCCCACACGGTCACAGCCCCCCTCTAACGGGTGCGCCAATAACACCAATATAAGAGATAACCGCTGAACGCAAGGTGCTGTAACAAACGGTTAACCTAACAAAAAGTGAGCACAAAGATACTGCTGCGGTATCATGACTTTTAGAAAAATAAATACTAATAACTAGATGTGCCAAAACCATTTTGCAACTTTTTTTTGCTCACGACGCGGACATTAATTTTAAACGTTTTGAAAATTAAAAAAAAAAAACCCACAAAAACAATCGTTTCTCCCGCCTTTCCTTCATAAACGATACACATGCGTTGTAGCATGCCGATTGATGCTATGCAGCCGCACAGTACAGCATATGTTTGGGGACAATCTCTGAAAAAAAGATTTGCTTGGTAGAACCATTGACCTTTTCAAATAAAACGGTTTTGGTTATCAAAATACATAGGCAGTAAGACGATCATACGGGAAAATAAAATGAAGTAACTTAGATAAAGAGACTATTAGCTAAGGATTTCTAAAGGGAAACAAACAAAATTTAACACAACGTAGCACTTTAAATCGGGTCACTTCCCACAAAACATGGAACATTGAGGTCGGTTCGAATCCTTTATCTTTTATATACATATACTGAAGGAAGTAGAAGTTTCAATTTCTTATTATTTAATGATAATTGGCCCTTGTTTATTATGTATTGCTTAATTCATTAACAAATATCATAGACAATTTCAACTTTTCTTTAATTCGTTAACAATATCAATCAATTTAAATACTTTAGAGAAACTTTGGATTATAACTAATTAAAACGGCACATTTAATCAATGATTAGAATTTGACACTGTTAAACACGAGAAAAAAACTTGTCGTACGGATGTTCAAATAGGAGGAAAGTCATATAAGAAACAACAAATTAGCTTGAGTGGCCTGTCAAAATTTAGTCCGACAGGCCGCTAGGCCGCAAACTTCACAAAAGTGATAAAACAATCAAAAAGTTTTTTTATGATTTTTTTTCGTTTTATATATCTTATAATATGTCTCCAGATGAGTCAAAATATTTCAATAAAATCAAACTTGAGAAATATGTATGACGATTTTAGGAAAAGTAGAATGATTCAAGATTCAATTAAAATTTTACATGTAATGTGCGATTAATGACTGATTATTGACTGATATTTCAATATTTACAACTACATGTAGATTTCTACTGCGTTACATGTTCTAATGCAGTAAGGACTATTTATGCATATTTTGACAACTTTATTTGCGTGGGTTGTAGATGCTATTGATATTTGATAATGTGCAAATTGCTTCCTTTGGTTATTTCACAAGATTATACATTCAATTACATTTTAAAAAATTCATTTCAATTAGCGTGAATTTGGAGGCGTGCTGCTTTAATATCAAGAATTGTCTAAAGAACATCACATGTGCCGTTTTTTATTGTTGTTTTTTTTTTATAAAATTTCTACAACTGTAAAATTTTAGGTTGCCAGGCTATTCTTTATGAATATGTTTTTATTCTTTCTTTCTTTTATGTAACTTTTGAATGACCTCAGAATTAACGATGAGTCGACAAACTTCTACAACACTAAGTTCAGGCCACTGGGCCGCCAACTTCACGCCGCCAGGCCGCTGAGCCGCCACTAGGCCACTGGGCCGCTAGGCTGCCAACTTCACTCTCAATTACCATACATCTCGTGCATGAAAGAAATATTTCTACTTGATAATCTATCCAACAAATCAAGTTAATATATATGATCCATGAATAGCGTGAATTAAGGAGAGTCATTTCCCATCAGCACCTTGAACCATGCCATGCCGCTATCCATCAGTCCATAACACCAACCGGTTCCTTCCTTGATATACCTTTACTCTGGAAGTAATACAGCACGATTCGCGTTTTCACGTGTTCGTCTATCTGTCTATAGACATAGCTGAACACACCAGTCTGTATCAGTAATACTACAAAATAAATCAAACACATGTACATCTGTACACGACTAATTATTTTCCAAGCTCTGTGTTAAGTTTGTTTTTTATTTGTATTACTTTTAACAATTACTTAGTATCTGTATTTAAAATCGAATTGTAAACTTAAAAAAATATATAAACATATAAAATAATGATAAGTCATGCGGAGATAACCGAGTATTGTACTTTTTACTGCATATACACATAAGACACGAGCTCGCGCCCACGCCTTGTGTCGCACATGAAGACTTGAAATAAGCAATCTTTCCATTTTTCATGACCCAATGGCAAAATGACAGTGGTAGTAACCATAAAAAACAACAACATTTGATATGTATATTATATATACCATATCGAACGAAGTTAGCAAATTTTGCGTAAGTTATAGCTACACTGTGAAATGCATATTGAAAATCACTGCCATTCTTAATTCAAAATGCATATTTTATAAAAGCAAAATTAATCAAAATAACATGAAATACTTATCTGAAAGACGAATTGGTGAACAGCTGAAACCAGCTGTGTTGAACTGTTGAAGCATTTCAAATACCGAGATAAGCGATGTTTCCACGTCAAATTTTAAACTTTAAATGCGCAGTCACGAAAAACTCGTGTTTGGTAAACTTTCGAAAACCAGTTTTATCGGAATGTTTTACCGTTTCACAAGGATGAGTTTTGAGGCAATTACACATATGCACCCGTCAAAATTAAAAGGGATTTATTTCTCAAAAGAAGATAAATCTACTTATTTACATGTTAAGTTCCTTAGCGTAGGTTTCGATCGAAATACCATAACCGTTTTGTGTTTTCATACTTCTGTGTACTCGAGGTCCTTATCCAAAGACTTACGGAAAGGACCAAAAAGTTGCGATCGAGATGAGTGGATAGATGAATGGGATCATATACATATCTGTAATCACGCACCTAAAGTAATTGTATTTCTTTTTGGACAGACCTGAGGTTTTGTTTGCTTCATCGTTAAAGCACATTAGAATTCCAAAAACAGCCAAATTTTTCCAACATATATCCAACAGAAAAAACAAAGACTGGTATACTGCACTAGCCACCGACACTTTAAATACATGTATAGCAATTTGAAAAAATAAGACATGTCTCTTACATGTAAATGGCCCATTAGAAACCAACTAAAACTGTACACTGCCTCCTTATCCGAACATAGTTAATGCGCGCAATGCCTTATTAAAAAGTTGAGCTGTTTATTACATAAAATTTTAAGATGAATTGTATAATAAGCTAACTTAACAACATATTTTTGTCATTATTTTTGATAAACATAGCTTTAAGTAATTCATTTTGTTGCTTTTAAACACAATATACACTATAAGATATGCGTGTTTTGCCACTTTCTTCTTTTTATGTGCTTTGTTTTTCTAAGAAAAGTAAATAAAGATAATATTTCATAACAAATATCATAAATTGTAAATTTTTTAAAAAATATTTCAAAACCTACCAATTGCTAATTTAAAAATTACAAAAAATATCGTAAATGAAACTAGTTTTAAATGTCCTCATTATGTGGCGTTTACCGCTTCACAACGACTTCATTGAAACTAAACACACGAAAATCGACGAAGCCCACTTGTGATTCTTTTGGCAATTGATAAGTCTACACGTGTTCATCACCAGTGATATCTGGACCACAGCAAACAGGGCAATTGATCAGTCTATACGTGTTCATCACACCAGTGATATCTGGACCACAGAAAACAGGGCAATTGATCAGTCTACACGTGTTCATCACCAGTGATATCTGGACCACAGCAAACAGTGCAATTGATCAGTCTACACGTGTTCATCACCCGTGATATCTGGACCACAGAAAACAGGGCAATTGATCAGTCTACACGTGTTCATCACCAGTGATATCTGGACCACAGCAAACAGGGCAATTGATCAGTCTACACGTGTTCATCACCAGTGATATCTGGACCACAGAAAACAGGGCAATTGATCAGTCTACACGTGTTAATCACCAGTGATATCTGAACCACAGAAAACAGGGCAATATATCAGCCTACACGTGTAAATCAATAATGATATATAGATCGTAGGAAACAGGGTAATAGTTTTAATGTTGAGATGATGTGCTGGCCCAACATTTTCGTTTATATCTCTTTAAAATTTTATTTTTCATAACAACCAATGAAGGTAAAAAGATATTTGTCCGCAAACCACAAATAATCGATGAATCGATCAATAAATTTGGTAGAGCCTACATATATGACGAATATATACTTAGTACTAGTATAATTATTAAGTTTGATTTATAAGTCATAACGTTGTATACCATCACTATATTCACAGGCACGGACGAATATGGAGAATTATGTCATAACGGAATGTACACTAATCTCTTCACTAACGGGGCAAAAGAGTTTCACGAGTACCCGGACTACACATTCGAGGATCATTTCAAAAAGGCAATCCCTTCGTTCCCCCCGAGGACTGTAATCAGAGATTACTTTGAAGGTATTTGTTTTACTTATCTATCTATTCTTATTTTTTAAGCACAATAGCTATCTCTGTTTATTGTCCTTGTCATTGGTAAAATAGAGTCGGGATCAATCCACTATTTAACCTTACAATTTATTGGACTGTTGTGAAAAACACAAGGACATGATTCATTTATAGCATACATAATTTTATAAAACTATATACAGTAAAGTTCTCTTGAGATTTAGAGTAGTTCAGTTCCACAAAAACTGGATATAATATAATTTGTCGTCTTCCATTATACGTCATGTATGGAAGATTGCTTGTTAATTTTTTTAATAAGATTATGAGTTAATGATATATTTTTCTACGATATATAAACTTTTCAAAATAAAATGTGTAGAAAATGTGTAAAAGGATTCAGAATTTAATTACATTTATACCATGGGTATTATATAAACTACATCACTGACATCGTAATTGATACAAGTACATTTTACTTGATGACCAAACATTGTAGGACGATGGACACAAAAAGGGAAAGCAAACTTGAAGAAATACATAAAATTCAACAATGTTGTGCGCCATGTGTGTTTTGACGACGTAAAATCCCAGTTTACAGTGGAAGCCTATGATCTTGTTGATAACAAAACCACCACAGAAGCTTTCAGTCACGTGCTTGTTGCTATTGGTATTTTTAATTGCCCCAAAGTACCTTCCATTGATGGAATCGAATCGTTCAAAGGTCGTGTGATGCATTCACATGACTTCAGAAACGCCAGCGACTTCCGTGACCAACGAGTACTTGTTATTGGATCAAGTTATTCAGCAGAAGATATTTCAATTCAATGCCTTAAATTTGGCGCCAAAAGTATCATCTGCACATGGAAGAATAAAGCGATGGGATTCAAATGGCCAAAAGGTATAGAAGAACGTCCGTTAGTACAAAAGTTCGTTGGCAATTGTGCTACATTCAAAGATGGATCCCGTGCAGAATTCGACACAGTGATTTTCTGTACAGGGTACCATTATGCTTTTCCGTTTATGGAAGACAAGCTGCGTTTAACCTCAGACGTATCTTTCTACCCTGACAATCTGTACAAAGGAGTTCTTTGGGTTAATGGTGGCGACAACAAGCTTTTCTATGTGGGTGTCCAAAACCAGTACTTCAGCTTCACAATGTTTGACGTACAAGCTGTTTGGGTTTTCATGTAAGTTTATCTACTTTTTCTCAGATAATAAAAAGACCATTCATTTAAAAAAATCTTACATCCAGACATGGTTTCTTTCTAATTCAATCTACAACTCTGCTGGAATTGCTGCTAAATACCAATGAAGTGTCGGTGATATGTTAAAATATCTCATTGGTGTTTATATATTCATTTAAGTACTTTACAACAATAGAAAGATACACTAGACAAACAACCGAGATACTTTACAATATACGATTATAACAATTCATGATGATAACAAAATGTACATTATTTACATGCCACAATTATAGCATTAAAACAAAAAACAAATATACCAGGTTTGAATATATTGGATACAAAATAAATTTATCAATATGTAGAAAATTATTTTAACAAATGTCTAGCTTTAACAAAAGAGATAGTACTACTTTGAAGGTACTGAAAATAGTGGTGTGTTACTAAGAAAACATGTTAGCCACAAGTACCAAAATATAGATAACTTTCATACCAATCATGCATTCCGCCACCAGTTTTATCAACCATATACCTGGGAAAAAAACAAAGTTATATACAAAGTACAAGAATATATCTTGTTTGGCCCAACTTCCTATGTTTAATGAATACCGTAAAGACTGTAAAAATGACAACCTTATCGAACTCATATTAAAAACTTAATCTTGTATATTTAGTAACTATTTTAATTGCCTTAAATTACTTTATTCGTTTATCGTTATGATCGTCAATCATATTGATAATGTTATTAATTTGATTCCAAACCACTATCTGTCACTGGATTCGAATCCCGCCATTGAGCCAGCTAGCCTATAGACTGCTGGTGGTTCTATTCAGGTTGCCTGCTCGTGCCTGAAATAATGCATGGAGGGACACCCGAGTGTTTTTACTCGACCAGTAAAGCTGTAAAGTCGTAACATAATATCACAGTGTTGTAACTTAAAACCCATCTGAAACATTGCATTCATATGAAAATTCAAAAGTATGATTACGTGTTTCTCTTACAAGAAAGAATTCACATAAAAGTATACTACGTATACAAAAATAGACGCAATAAAAATATCATATTTATTATATAAAGTAAGTCTCCTTTATAACAACTTAATTAATATGACGTAACATTATATTACAAAGGTACATAAATGGTAAAATCAAGAAGAAGTCCAGAGGCGAGATGCAAAAGGACATACAGAAATGGGTTCAAAGACTGCCGAAACTTGACACGTGTGACAAAGCTATTGATTTTCAGACAGAGTACATGGCTGAGCTTATAAAGGACACAGGATATCCAGAGAAAGCTGTTAAATCCGGTAAACTCATGCACGATTGGATCGCTCATAAGAATGATAACATTCTCACGTACAAAGACCAATGTCATGCTTCCAACTGGACCGGAACCGTCGCACCAAAACCGAAAGTTCCAATGTATGAAGCGTTTGATGACAGCATCGGGGCGTTCATTTAAATACAAATTATTAGTTGAAACATGAATGACGGTCGGCGGTTGACGTAATTTTATATTATTGGACATGTATAACATATTTATAGGAACATTAATTTGATGAATGATCGTTTACATAATTTCGCAGCTTTGGAATACATTTTGTTTAAGTTATCAAATTAACTGATGTTCGTTTACTTTTTCACAAGCATCGCACATTTGTCGGACGCTCGTCAATTAAACGATTGTTAACGAAATTTTGCAAAATAAAACTTGTACCGCGCATTAATTGGACAATTAACGGACTGAACGTTTAGAGTATCAGATACGCATTGAACGTTAAAATGAACTGAAATAAGTTTACCTTTGAAAATATTTTACTTATATATCATACATGTACTGGGCTGACTGAACGTTTGTTTTTATCATCTTATTTTTTTTGTATTATTTTGCATTATTGGGTTACATTGTATTATCAAACTTTTATTGGATTTATTTCTGAATAATGCTTTAAATATATACGTTATATGATATTATGTGCTATTGTTTGAAGGTTGAACACAGAAAACACAGAAACAACTGCGTTAAATTCTTCCCTTGTTTATATAGTTATTCAATATCACAGGAAAAGCGCGTTCATCACAATAAATTTATAATCTTATGCATAAATTGTAGAAAATATTTTACGATCCCTTTACGAGGGTTGTCCAAAAAATTCATGCACTGCAGTTATTGTCATGAGAGTTATTAATAAAAACAAATGAATTATATATCACTTGAAGGGGAAACCTGTCTAAAATAAGAAAACAAAAGAAAAAGCTCAGTAACCTTCGTGTCGTGTAAAAGAATGGTCATTAAGTTACCTTAGTAACGTTATACCGGCGCACGACAAACAATGGATTAGTTCATTACTGTTATTGTATTAATTGTTTGTTGCTTGTAAAGTGGCATTTGCTTTTTATCTTATAATAAAATTTTGTTTTTCTGTCAATAGAGGAATGATTGATGCAAAGTATTTTGTAGTTTTTATTTTTCTTATGCAACGTACATGTAACATATTCCACCAGTGCACGAATATATTGCAAAACCCTCGTCACATGCGCCGGCATTACGGACGGACGTCTGCCTGGCTGGTTGTCATCGTCTACCGACTCTCTCTCTCTCTCTTCTACAAAGCGTTTGTGCCATTTAAAAGCCAGCCTTCGTGACTGAACTGGTCCTGCTTGCCCTTTTAAGTTCTTTGAAGGTATCTGTTGGTGTTTTACCAATTAATGATCGTCCGTATTTCCAGACGTTTAGCGACTGACATTTTCACGTAATTGCAGTATTGACGACCACACACAAATGCTTGTTTACGAGCGTTACACTAGAGCAAATAACGTCATATTTACTAGTGACGTTAGGAATACAAATACACACTTTTTCCTTAATTTTAATGTTTATATGTAGTGTTTAAAGAATGACGTGATGCATCAAAATAATGAACTAACCACATTTTTTTTCGTGCGCCGGTATATCGTTACCAAGGTTACTGTATGACGATTCGTTTTCACGACATGATGGTTACACGTTTTTTTCTTTTGTTTTCTTATTTTGGACCGATTTCCCCTTTAAATGATATATAATATATGTTTTTCTATTGTTACGAGCCAGGCGTAACTAGAAAGAAAAGCCAGCAACAAACTTGTAACAATATAACAAATTTATTACAGAAAAATATTAAAGAAAAATAAAATAACAAATTACTTTACAAATACCTGAAGTCCAAATAAAAGTGAAAATCTTAAATGTCTAGTCTGATCCTGGAATGATCCTTTTTGAATAACACAGTTAAATCCAAGTTAAATCCAAGAACACTTTAGAATAAATTCCCACAATAAAATCCACAAGAATAATTTATTTTAAAATCCAAGCTCCAATAAATCACTTTATATCCAAGTTGAATAATACTCCAAATATATTGATTTCTAAAAGATCACTGATGACTTAAAAGGTAACTGATGACTTAAAGATAAGAGTAATGAAAAATGTCTCCTTATATATATTAACTAAGAAGTTTCTAGAATAGTCTTCCATTTACTACAGTAATCATAATCTAGCAACTTCAACAATAAAGATCATTCCAGAAATTTCTATCTAAATATAATGCATGAGTTTTCCACAACAGTTAAGAACGTTCTAGTACATACATGTAGTTTATGTTCTAAAAATAGAACAATGACAATATTGGAAATACCAACTGGTCAGATATAATCTATATACATGTAATATGTTGCATACATAACACTATCAATAACTCTCACGACAATAACTGCAGTGCACGAATTTTTTTGACAACCCTCGTACATATGAAAATATTCTTTATTGGATAAAATATATGCAAGACTTTCAGTCCTATTACTTTTGATTAACCCTCGTATAATCAAGAAAATATATTTATTGTGACGGTTCTAATGCTTTTTGAAATATGCATGTGACTATATTTATTGTACTATATTCTTTTCATATTACAAACAAATAATAAAATATGTACTTCAAAAATAATAAATCATTTACGTTTTTAATGATAATATTAAAAGAAATGACGAGATTTTACGTATACCTGATCACTTATGATGATGGAGTAATGTGTGGATTTCGGACGGACGGACATATGGTCAAAAGATAAAGAAGAGACTGATTACAACTATTATATGCTGGCCTTTAGGTATTCGTATTGATCAATCTCTATTTACTTGTTTCATAACCTGGCTGTCTCGCATGGCACCAGTACTTCTGTGGATAACAAAAAGATATTTGGAAAATTTTGTTTGTTTAAGAATGACCACACGTCCAAATTGTTGATTCTAACACGACCCGCATTTTTCCCTATTGAACATAGAAGAACAGAAAGTGTGTGTTAGATTCTATTATGCAACAGATGCACAGTTTAACGTTCTATATTTAGACATGTGACGTAATCATTATACACGGGACGTAACCACAAAAAATCCGACGCGCTGAAAATATGTTCGGAAACAAATCAGGCTCAATTTTGCTTAACTATCAAGTACCACAACAGTTATTTCTAAATGTCGTGTTAGAATCGAAATAATATATCAGTGATTTTATCGCTTGTCGTTCGGATGTGCATCATTATATCACTCGGGCTACGCCCTCGTGATTTAATTCCTCGCATCCGAACTCCAAACAGTGATTTTATTGAGCGATAAGATATATTATTTCTTAAATATACGCTTTCTTTGGCGAAAATAATAATAATAAATAAATACCACATTTATATAGCGCCCTTTTCATTAAAATGTTCAAAGGCGCTTTACATCAATCGTATATGTCTAAAACAATATAAATGAACAGGATTATGAACATTAAAAATATTTTGCATTAACTAATTAAAAGTATAAATTATGAAATTTTTTTTACATATTAATACAATATAACTTAAAGATCCTTAAAACTCACTTTACAATATTATTGTCATACATTAAAATTGTCTTCAATATATAAATGTGTAAGAAATAATGTGCCTTTTAACATAAACTCATAAATAAATATTAAAAGCTACTTTAAATGCATATTGATGATTTTCATTGTTTTGTTGTCATACTTTACAACAGAAAATATATGAACGATTGATAAAAGAATGAATACAGCGACATCAGACTAAAAGAATATTGAACCTAACGAACCTGGATAGCATGAGTACTGCTACACCAAGGTCCAGTACCGAGGGAGTCAGATACCTCCCCACAGCGCATGCAGACCCCCAGGATGACATCACTACTATCACCACAGGAGGAAAGGGCCACGCCCCACACCTTAACACTAAATATTCTTGAAATCTGACCCCTCTGCATTCACGAGCCATATATTATATAACACATGTAAATTATTATGATAAATCAATGTTAGTTTTGTTTTTTTGTTTTTTTTTTTTTTTTTTTTTTTTAAAAAAAAAAATATTCTGTGCTTAAAAATGCTAGCAATGGATTTATAATAATAGATAAGATCTTGCTAAATCATCGTTATAAAACAATAGAAATACTAAATTGATTTAAAAAATTGTTTGTTTAAAAAAAAAAAAAAAAAAAAAAAAAAAAAAAAAAAACTTTTTAATAAAACTAATATTCAAATAACAGATACTTCGTATTCACTGTTTATAAAATTCATTCATAACAGTCACTGATTATTTTCCATAAGCTAAATTGAAGTAGTGTGTTTTAAGATGTTTTTTGAAACTTTCTACTGTGTTACAGTTTTTTAGATGACTTGGTAGTGAATTCCATAGCTTAGGAGCTGATGCCGAAAAACTCCTTTCACCAAATTTCAGTTTAGTTTTTGGTTGCACTAATCGTACAGGTGCATTTGAAGAGCGCAGATTTCGGGAAGTGGAATAAACTTGAATCATTTCCTGCATATATGATGGAGATTGTTGTTTCAGTGACTTGAAAGTATGTAATAAGATCTTGTAATTCACTCTATATTCGATTGGCAGCAAATGAAGATCTTTCATCACTGGTGTAATATGATCTTTCCTAGATGTACGTTTAATCACACGGGCTGAAGTATTTTGAACAAGTTGAAGTTTTTTCATGGTTTGTTGAGGTATGAGCCAATATCAGATTTCGCCTGTAATCTTGTCCTTTTCAATTTTTCACAAAATGCATGATCATTTTATAAAAAATAAATTTGCATGCTTGTAAGTACATAAAATATTGTAAACTAAGACATTTACACGATAAGATATTAAACATATTTTTTTCTGGTAGTGTCATAAACCTAAATTAAAACTGATTTTCCCTCGTCCTTAAGTCAAAATCCCAACTTCAGCTGTTTATCCTGTAAATTTGTATTACTAAAATACATCCTTTTGTTAACTTACGCAAAATATAACCTTTCATATAATGTATTTATACAGTAAAAAACTAAGTTAAGTATTTCAATTTGCAAAATGCAAGTTATAATTTTGTCCCCAACTTTTTTGACAAAAATGTCCTTCAAGTAACAGTACTATAAGTAAATTATTTTGTTAAGTAAATTGTTGCAGTGTGCTATTCAAAAGAAGGTGATAGGTGTAATACATGGCTACAGCAACGAAACATATGGACATTTTAAATAGGATTTAGAAAATTGGAAGACATTGATTTAAGGTTGGAACCATGATTTCGAACAGTGTCCTTTAAGTAACGAGATTCTAATTATTTAACTTATGAGAAAGATTCCCTTTTGTATTGCTGCTGTTAGCAGATATTTTTCAGTCATGAATTAAATGACCAAAATTGTCTCCCTTATCTTATCTGTGTAAACAGGCTGTAAAATAACCTGAATAAGTCCTTGCAGTAACTGTCCTTACAATAATGTTACTGCAAGTACAAAATCTGTTACTGAAAGTACAAAATACAACACAATTTTTCTTTAACATATAATTATGGATAAAGATACGATATACATTTTCTTGTCGGCATAATATATTTATTATTAATATATTTATTCTATAATTAGACAATTATGCATTTAAAACTTCTGCTTTATGTTATTTTGTTATTCGAAGGACAACCTGTGTTATTGAAAGGACTTTTTAATTCAAACTCAATGTACTGTACTAACATATCTACATTCAAACTTGGAGAAAGTTTCATTAGTTTCTTTTTTGTTTCAGTATATATATTCAATTGGGTTATTTTTTGCTTTTACAGTACAATGCTTTTGTTAAAATTGAGGAAAATCTGAATAATCTTGCACCCTTTAGAATCCTCAGCATTAAGTTACTGTAAGGACAATATACATATTGTGGTAATTGAAATGCAAGTCATTTCACAAATAACTGTAGCGATTTTAGAAATAAAAGTAATAAGGCAGTACCGGTATATAGAAGGAAAGTTCTTAGTTCTTATCTCTACAGAGACTTATTTTTTGCATAGAATTACAGTTTACTTTGCAAGATAGAAATCAAACCTAACTTATATCATTCACAAGCAAGCCTTTAAGGCATTTTTACAAAAGAAAATTATTGTCTTCAAAACTACTAAAATTAGTCATTAAAAGTAGTCCCTTGAAACTTAGAACATGATTGTTTGTTTACTTTCCGAGTCCTATTTTGGCCTCGCGTAAAATTCCTGGCATTATCGTACTTAGTGAACACAGTAAATTTCTATTTTGTTTTGTTTGCTTAAAATGCTGCACCAAAACTCTTAAGGTCAGTAACTGTTGGCAAATTATTTTCAAGCTTGAATGGTTGAAAAAGACACCAGGTTATTTCAGGCACAGAAGGGCCACTGACAATTTGTAAGCTAAATGATGGCTTTGTCACAAGAAAGAATCTCTGGAAATTTATTTACAGTCATTCAGGATTAAAATTATGCATTCTAAAAGGTCAAGAACTTTTGCATTTTATTTTAATTATTTAACTTAGAAAACTCCTGATTAAAAATATAGCATGTAATATCAATCTTCAAAACTTCTGATGGAATTCTCTTTGAACTTGTTTATAAAATTGACTGAGACGAGTTTAGACTGAATTATGCGAACTCACAACATTGCTTGGTTACCTTAAAGACTTGTAACTTTTCCCCGTTTTAAATTCATGTCTGCACAATTGTGAAATATTTATATTTAATACAAATAGTAGTAATGGTGCTTAAATTCAAATGATTATTGTTTGTAAATAAATGATAACCCTGTAAATAAATGATAACATCTTATCATTTCTTTATTTTTTGTCACTTCAGTAACAAATATGTCCGTCCTGTAACTTTAAAAGAGAGCTTCACTTACTTTTGCTATTCAAATTCAAGATCTATTTAAGAATAATTCAAAGCTTATTTTCATTTCTGTATGTTGTTAACATTTAATTGTTAGTTCAATGATAAGAAATAAACGTAAATTTACAGTTATAAGTCCTTTAAGTAACATACATTAGTCCTTGCAGTAACAAGCATGTCCTTGGTGTAACACAAATTGATTTCTAGTTCTGCAATATAGCA